ATTAATTAAAATATAATATAAATAAATAAAAAACAGAAAATAAAATAAATAATATATATTTATTAATAATTTCCTTTAAATAATAATAAAATAAAAACTAATAATAACAAAAAGCCAAAAAAAACACAAAAACTCATAAAACTAATTATTTAAAACCTAACTAGGGGTGCCAATGGCAATGGCTAGGGGTGCCATTAGCCTCCCCCTTTTTTAATTGTTAATAGTTCTATTAAAATCAAACTTTTAAATGGTTAAGAGTTGAATTTTGTTTGATAAAAAAAAATTGTCTTTTAATGGTTTTAAAACCTTCTGAATGATTTCGTATCTTGAATTTTCTTTAATCATTAAAAGCTCTAATTTCATTATACACAATTACCAAACAATTATATTTCATTTTGCATTATATCATGAGAGTTTCTTAATCAATCTGACCACTTAATCATTTTGCACCAAACCATTCAGCAATTGCCAAACAGCCGTTAGGGCTGATTCCTTACATTGTTGTTAACCAACTCTGGGTTGTTTGTTTACCTCTCAATAGTTCAATTAAGATACATCATCTGAATCGTTAAGAGGTGAATCTTATTTGTCCAAAACAAAGTATGTCTCTTAATGGTTCTAAAACTCTTTGAATGATTTTGTATCATGAGTCTTCCTTAACCATTCAGCGCCCTAATTTCATTGTAAACAAATATATTTCATTTTACATTATCATGAGAGCCTCTGAATCATTCTGACCACTTAATCATTCTGCATCAAATCATTCAGCAATTGTCAAACAGCCCCTCAAATGAAAATAAAATCTTGTTTTAAAACAGGGATGGGTTAAATGCATCTTTATCTATGAATTTTGTTTTGAACGTATCAACGTTAAAACGGTTATTCTTATATTTTTAATGTATGAATTGAACTGATTTTAATTTATATGGGGATGCAAATAATATTCCCCTTAAAATAATCTTCTCATAACTTTAACCATTGGTGTCTTTTGTTGTTTGCATGTATACTATATTATAAAGTATTTGATAAAAACTCCTAAAAACCATTTTTAATGTATAAAGTATTGTTTATTAATGCATATTACTTAAAATTCAAAATTACAAATAATTGTGCGTAAGTATAACTTATTAAAGCTTCATGTTTGAATTCGTGTAACTAACTATAGATAAAATAGTCATATACAAGATAAACATTTCATTTTAAATATAAAAAATCTAAAATATAATTATTATAATCATTAAGTTCTAACAGATTACTTACCTATTATCCTTATAAAAAATTTATTAAATCATAAATAAATTACTTTGTTATTAAATCTAATTTAAATTATAATAGAAAAATTGAATTAAAGGAATTATACAAAAATAAGAACTTTTGAATAGTTAATTTGATACTAATATTGATATATCTATTTTCGAAATTTTATGATATCTTCAAGTTTATATTTTATTCAAAAATAAAATCATTATCCCTTTCTCAAAATCACATAAAAACCGTATTAAAATATCTACAGAGACGGAATACAACGAAACATTAAAATCGAGATATATCTCGTTGCATTGTACGAATACGCTTCTAGTTAATAAATAATTAATTGAAGATATTTAGTTAGAAGGGAAACATCAAAGATACGATGTTTTTTTTTATTATATACTATGTACCAATCAATTATGATTTGTTTGTAATTTTTTATATTGTCTATCAACCAACTATATTTGATATCATTTTTATCGGTTGGTACATGTTGGTATAGTTTTGTAGCATAATAAAAGTTAAAGATATAGATTTATTTTATATTTATATACTTACAAAGTAGATATATTAAAATCATCGAGCATTCAAATAATATGTTGATATATGTTCTACCATTTTATCCCTACATGTATAAACATTAGTTACCTGCATATCTATACTATATTATAAAGGATTTGACAAAAATTCTTAAAAACCCACTTTTTATGCATTAAGTACTGTTTATTGATGCATATTACTTAAAATTCAAGATTACAAGTAAAAATTATCCGCATGTAAAACTTATTAAAGCTCTATGTTTGAATTTGTGTAACTAACTACAGATAAATATAATCATATTATGGATAAGTATCTCATTTTAAATATAAAAAATATAAAATATATTTAGGATAATCATTGAATTCAAAATACTAAATATTATCTTTATAAAAGAATTATATTATTAAACAAAAAATTAATGATCTAACTTAAATTATAATAAAAAATAGAATTAAAGAAATTACACAAAAGTAATAACTTTAAAATATTTAATTTGATACAAAAATCGATATATTTTTTTCAAAATTTTATGATATCTTCAAATTTATATTTTATTCAAATAAATAGAAACATTATCGTTTTTTCAGTACCACATAAAATCGTATTATAATATCGGCGGAGACGGAGACATAATAAAATGAAACATTAAAATCGAGATGAATCTCACTGTATTACACGAGTACCCTTCTAATAAATGATAAAAACATCTATTAATACAAAATTCAAAATTAAAATAAAAAAAGTAATACATGACCACATGTACTTATGTAGTCCTTCAAGTAACCCTTGGTTAAGACTCTTTTCGTCCCAAATTAACGGGATGTTTACTCAATTGTTTATTCGATAAGTGTTTATTGATATGAGTTAATACTATAATTTATTTTGATGTTTAAGATTTTAGTACGTCAAAACGTATTGAATGCAACAATTTACCAGGTAAGCGTTTACCTGGATAAGAGTCGTCGTTTCACTTACCGGGTAAGATTCTTCATCCTTCTCATCGCTCTTCCATCCGATGAGAAAATTTATCCAGTAAGCACTTACCAAATAAACTTTTAGTAAACGATCCCTAAGTGTCGATTAGTTTGTTATAAAATAAATATCCATTTTTAAAATTGTACACTTTCTTAATTATTACGATGGATAAAATTTCTTTTTTTATAATTAAGTGTAAAAAGTGTTATTTAGTTACTTAAAAGCGTAATGATTACACACTCCTAAAACTATGTGTCATTTTCATTGTGGACATTTATTTTGAGACAATAGGAACTAGGAGTTATAAATTTAGAATTACAAAGAAAAAATAAAATAAAATGAATGAAAATTTAAAAATCAAAATATGTTATATCTATACTATATTATAAAACATTAGATAAAAACTCTTAAAAACAATTTTTTATGCACGAAGTATTGTTTATTGATGCATATTCAAACATTAGATAAAAACTCTTAAAAAACCATTTTTTATGCATGAAGTACTGTTTATTGATACATATTACTTAAAATTCAAGATTACAAGTAATTTTGCGTAAGTACAACTTATTAAAGTTCAATTTTAAAATTCGTGTAACTAACTGCAGATAAACACAATCAAATACAGAATAAACATTCATTTTTAAAGATAGGAAATCTAAAATAGAATTAAGATAATCATTAAGTTCTAAAGTAATGTTTAATTATTATCTTTATAAAAAATTATATTGTTAAACCAAAAATAAATTACTTTGTTATTAAATCTAAATTAAATTATAATAAAAAACTGAATTAAATAAGTTACACCAAAAAATGAGAACTATTAAATAGTTACTTTGATACTAATAATCAATTTATTTTTAAATAAAAAATTATGCTATCTTCAAATTTATATTTCATTCAAAAATGAAAACAATATCGCTTTCTCAAAACCACATAAAATCGTATTATATCGACAAAGACAAAAATAAACACTAAACACTAAAATCAAGATTTATCCCACTGCATTATGCGAGTAACCTTCTAGTATTATTTATAAAACTTTAATTAATAAGTATTATTGATAATACCATATCAAATATGTAAGGTCGAATTTATAAATAAATAAAAAACTCTTTAAAAATGATTAATATGATAGAAAAGAATTTTTTATTATATTTTCATCAATAAAAAACTTTGATATTACATATTTACGAAAAAAATTATATTTTA